GCCTGGAAGGGACTGAGGGGGATCTCATAAATGTCTAAAATAGCTAAAAGGTGGGTGTCAGGAGGATGGGTCCAGTCTCTTTTACACAGCATCCAATGACAGGACTAGGGGCAATGGGCACAAGCTGGAACATAGGAGCTTCAAGCTAAACATTGCTGTGAGAATAACAGTGCACTGGAACAGGCTGCCTAGAAAGGTTGTGGAGTCTCTTTCTCTGGAGACATTCAAAACCCATATGGACATGTTTCTGTGTGCACTACTGTAGGTGATCTTGCTTTAGCTGGGTGAGTGGACTAGGTGAGCTTCAGAGGTCCCTTCCAACCTCAACTACTCTGTGACTCTGTATGTGGGGAATAATGGTGATGGCCAGGTCTGGACTGCTGATGCTGCCAAGCATATGTCCTCTTGTCATCTTCTCCACAGGTGTGTGCATGTGATGGACTGCACCACCCTGCTCTGGGTATGGGCACCAGTGAGAACATGAGAGGGTGTGTACCTCATGGCTGCTCTCTGCACTCCCACCTCAGCAGTGAAGCCACTGGCTGTCTCTTGTTTAAAGTAACAAAAAATCCTAAGGATCGTATAAAATGGGTACCACTTGCAAAACAGAGCAGCGTAGAGAGGAGCCTCATTCACACACACAGGGCCCCTGTAACAGAAACAACACATTTCCCAGGTTTTGGTGTCTGATGTATTTCAAGTCCCAGAGCCAGGGAAATACCTACACCAAAAGCACTACAAATTGTCACACTGCTGAGTAGCACCTTAGTTCTAACTTTGCCTTAATCCAAACCCTGATACATACCTTGTCACATACTCGAACACTTACACATGAGCTGTCATGGAATAGGATCAAAGAGAAAGTCCACACCCAAGCAATGCCATGCCAATTATTTTCCAGTCCCAATTCTTCATCTGAAGAACCTTATTTATATGCAGGTGTTACGGAAACACAACAGTTCCCATACATAGTAGAAGGATGCAACCACGGCTTGAAAACCAAACCAACCAAAACCAGCTTGCAGTCTCCCCAGCACCGCAATAGCAGCAAAGATGGGCTAATGTGATTTTTTAAAGATACGTTTTCAATCAAAACAGGTACCTGCCATCACACTAGGCTGCCCCTTCACTTAGCACCTGCTTAACCTGTACAACTGTCTTTACTGCTATTGTTACCAATGCTAATTAAAGCTAGCCCTGGGTTTGCCTACACATGTCTCAGTCATTTCACTGTGTAGGCAAGCCCTGAGGTCCCAAGCCTGTCAGAAGTCTGAATGAAGTCCTTACCTGAGAAGCAATCTGAAGAGCCGATGCGACCATTTCAGGGCATGCAGCAATTCATTCTCATGGAGTGCAAAACTGCCTAATAAAAGAGCCACTGCATTCTGTACAGCTGCAGATACTAGGACAGTTGCTGATAGAGGTCTGAACAAAAAAACAAACAAAAGGGCTGCCAGAATTAGGATACTGCAGTGAGAGTGAACTTGCACAGATCTAGAAGAGGAACAATTTCCACACACGCAGCGATCTGCCGCCTGAGCAGCTGCCGGCTGCGTATTTGCCACTTGCCACCAATTTTCTGACTTGTTTACGTCCACTTTTACAACAGCTTGGACCATGTTACTTGACTCAGATTGTTACCACTGAGCTCTAAACCACATGAATTAAGAATTTCTACAGGAAACTTGAGGTATAGCAGGATCAAAGAAATATGCAGATGTAGACTTTAATAAAGCTACTTAGCTGGAAAACAACTGTCACAAAGTATCTGTGTGCTAATGTCAGCCAATTTTTCTAAATTCATTTTGAAACAATTCGTCATCCATCCTCTTCACCTCCTTCCAATTTACAGCAGTCATTGTAAACATTGCTGGGCCAGCACACAGAGATGATAGAACACTTTCCTTTTAAGAAAGAAGCCAGAGTAACTTCGTGCCTCCATAAACTTCACCATATTTGGTAAAGTTTCGGTAAAGGTTTGCATTCTGTGACCACTATAGGAAGAGTAGTGGTCATTTCTGAGTATCTTGAAGAACTAAGTAAATCAACCCACCAGCCAAAAACATACACAAAGCAAGTAGCTTACAGTAAGATAATATGACTATTTTTAAATTATTTTTAAAAAAAATCTTATTAAACTACAGAAGCAATCGGGCAGGCGTGGTGTTTTAGTGCTCTGTCAACTTTCAAAACAGTTGCATTAACTTACTTGGCATCTCTTTTTGTCTCTGAATATGACCAAAAGAGGGATTTTGATTGACATGAAAGAATATGGCATACAAATCACCAGAGACAAGAGCCTTCAGGCAATCCTGACTTGTCACAATGTCAGTTTTGTAAAACTTATGCATGAACCATGAAGAAATTAAACATCCTTAAAGTGAACTTGGTGGTAGCAAGATGGAGATTGGACTTTTTCCTCATTGAAGAGAAATATGAAAAAGCACCACAGCATTACATTACTGAAGGGTGAATTTAAACATCACCACAAAAGCAAGTCCTCTTAAAAAGGGCAGGGCAAATCACTTCTAGTCCATAAAGGATGCTGGGTGAGCTCTTTTTAATAGACGAGTTATGCTTGTATATACTGACAAACCTCTCAGCATATGCAGGGCAAACCTCAAAAATTTCAGCCAGTTAAACAAGACTTTCCAGCCAGAAACATTACATTCTAAAACACAACCATTTACAAGACACCTTTTTCCAGCTGAAGAACAAGGCGCAGTACTACAAAATGTTCATGAGTAACCAGTCATACGCCTGTACACGCAGTGTTTTAAGAATCAAATTTCTCTGTGCTGCTGACAACAGAAGTATCACAAGCCTGTGACGGCAGAAAACTCTGCAAAGAAAAATGTCCGTTACGGGAATCTATAAGAGACCAAAGAAAATGAGGACAACTTTAAAGATAGTAATTCTGGAGACAACTTCTAACATAAAAAAAATACAGAGACTAGACCTCTATTTAGCTGTTTCATGAAAGCCATAGCACCAGTGGTATTGGAGCTCCAAGTATAGAGAATGTGTGCACACATGGCTTTTTTTTTTTTTTATGGAACCAATTAAGTCATAGCCCATCAGATACAAGCAAACTTTATGAGAGAATAAAGGGAGGAATAATGCAAATTAACAAAAGCTAACATAGCAGACTCTGGACGAGACCGTCTTACCCAGGTTTTAAACACTTGTCGAGCCAAGCAAATAGCTTTCTGAAGCTGAAATATTTTTTTCATGTGAAAGTAATTTCTAACTTTAGGGTCTGCACTGAAAAAGCCCCACAAACTGCCCAAAGACTGTGATGCTTTTAAGGATGAGAATTGTTCTCTCTCATTTCTACCCTTTATTAGAAGGACTTGGTGTGAAAAATTCTGGAACTGATTTAGCTGTATCAGTATTTAAAGGCAACTCAAAATCTTCCAGAACATGTCTTTCTCAGCAACACTGTGAACTACACACCCAGATTTGAACAAGGGTGAGATATATGCAGAGAGTGCAGTGGGAAAGCAAGCAGCAGGCACAAGGGAAAAACATTCACCAAGTCCTGCTCACTCTAACACTTGGGTGTCAGAGGCAAATGCACCAGAAGTGTTCAAACTATATTCTGGTGTTTGAACAGTTTCTCCAGGTTCTATGATTGCTAATGAGCACTGCTGTAATTCACTAGATTCTTCATTGATTCTATTTGTTTAAGAGATAGCAATTATATCAGGATCTTGATTGGAAAGAAGTGCCAGTTTCCCATCTTTTCTAACCATGATGACACACAGCTGTAGTTATTCTGACTTTCTGGAATCAAAGAGTGAGAAAAACCTAGTCTTGCCCTTGTCCTGCTCTCCACAAATACTTTTTTGCATAATAATTTTTTTATTTACAGCAGTTAGAATCAAACTCACAAACTAATGAATAGTAATTAAAAAAATTAAGCCAACATTTTATTACATTTAGATTTCTTAATGACTGACAGCAATCATTAACTGAAGTATAACAGGCTGGTAAAGCTGGACAGCTTGCATAGGTATTTGTAAATGAAGGAAACTGGAAAAGGTGGGATAGACAGTTTTAAACACAGAAATAATTGCTCACCTTAAAATAAGGACAGTACAAAAATTCACACATTTACATTCATTTATCCTAGGCTACCTCTTCATGAACAGAGGATAGCAAAGACAATGGTATATAGGAATAACACAACTTAAATTCTCACATCTATTCCAAACCGGAACTAGAACGTTTATTTAGCTTCTGTTCCCTTAAGAAGTTGTTCCAGCCTCAGATAAGGGAGAGGAACTGAACCTGCTAAATTTTAAGCCATCACATCCAACACTCTACCATGCTACTATGGAAAAAATATACACGTTTATAAAAATAAAGCTAACAAACCAACTACAGCTTGTGGTCCTGATTCTGACATTTGTAACATACACAGACAAAACTATGGCCTGAGGTGAGACTGACCACAGGCAAGAGTTAGGCTTTATGTTTAATTTATAAACCCAGGACCTAAGCTTCTCTTTATAACAAGATTAGCTAGGCAAATCTGAGCTAACTGCAGTTTACTATTTTTATCTCTTGCAAAGACCATACAAAAAAGTACATAAAGACAATGACATTTTGTGACAGAAAAATTAAATACAAGAACCAATTTAAAAAAAAAACAAACAACAACTTAAACCCCAAAATATCTAGTAAGACCAGCCTACTGATTAGGCAACAACTTATACAGCTAGACTGGAAAGACAGACTTAGTCATCACCCATTAGAAACAGAATACACAAAGGCTAAAAAATGTATTTTGATCATACACAATATATTGCAGGGGATAGCCATAAACTCTAGCTGTTAACCAGCACAACAGAGGACATCAGGTTATAAATCTAGCAATTCAAAATACAGATGTGTTTTTGAAGTGGTATTGCTCAACCCTTGCAAATAGATCAACAAGCTTCCATTTTTGTGAGCAGCTCTGATTACAGCGTGTTAGTGCACTGAAGTATCTTCATTTACATTTCCTCAAGGCTTCTCTTGATAGCTTCTTCCAATTCTGCATCTTGCTCTGTATAAATTAAAAAAACCACCCCGATTATTATAAGAAACTACGGTTGATAACTAGTCATAAATACAACTATATTAATATCATTACATAAAACAACAAGTTACTTCTGTGGGCAATGCCAGTAGACTGCAAAAAATACCAGTAAAGAAATAGAATGAAATATTTCTCCTCCTGCTGTCTTATGCTCTCTTTTCAACATTTAAAAATATAGGAAAAATGTCTACAATCTTTCACTCTATTTACTAGGGGAAGCCCACAGATTAGCACCTATACACTTACTGGTCAAAACAATATCAAGATTAGAACGCATATGTATGCACCAAGAAAAATAATATAGTACTAAAAAAAAGACAGATGCACAAAACTAGTAGAGAGGTTTCAGTATTTTAATTCAATTTCCTTGTCAATAGATACTCCCTTAAGTACATTCTAACTTGGCACCAGTATTGTCATTCTTATTAGGAAGGCCAGACCTAAGTAAAGAAAAAGTCACATCAAAAGTAAGAATAGTCTAGATCAGGGTTGGTTTGGGCACTAATTATTTGGTGTTAGTGAATTAAAAGTAAGACAAGGTTTATATGTACAACAAATATTAGTAACAGTGATATAATTGGAAAAATCAAAGCAGCTTTCAGACAGACTGTCATTCTTGTATTATGCATCATCATCTTCAGGACACAAGCACATCCTATTACAAAAGCTGTCTCTCCTTATGACAAAGGAAACAGAATAATTATATACATTAACATAACAGATTGTAAAACTTTAATTATTGCTGGGCTGTTTTATGCAAGGCCTAGATCTGGAAGAGAAATAGCATCAATGAATACTCTCTCATGTCAGCAGAGCCATATTCATTCAACTGGGTTTTCTTGCAAAACCTGATACTGCTGATAAAGAGGTTAATTTCTGAAAGGAAAACATTATGCGGTCACAGAAGCAAAAAAATAAATTTTGAAACCAAAATAAAGCAGAAAGCCATTTGAAAACAACTGCCTGCAATAAAAGCATGTGCAAGAATCAGGAATAAGCTCCAAACTCTGACTCTGTTGCTAATACAGTTTGCTCCACAGTGATACCTGGATTGTCCTCCATTCTCTGGGGCTGCTGAAGCAGCTTTTTCTGCCTCCTACACTTGCTTATTGCTTTCTCCTCTTCCAGCAGTTGCTGGTGATTTTTCCTTTTTACCCCTTTCTAGGGTTGATCTTGCCTCCTCACTCCCTCTTACCCCATGCTGGGGCTGCCATTAACCACACAGGCAGCAGTGAACAGAGCTGAAGGCAGGCTGCTTCCTAAGGTCTGATGGCTTCAAGCACTGCAGCATCAGCACTGAGACCTACTGTGGGCACCAAATGCCTCTGCTATCCCTGCTGGCAATACCCAGTGCCAGGAGGACCTGAGCGTGGCATTCAATACTGTAGATGAGTATGTTGGACATTTAGTAACACTATTTTGTAACAGGTGGTAAACTTGAAACTCAGTAAATTCTGGGAATATAAAATTCAGTTATCACAGAATGGTAGGAATTGGAAAGGATCTCTGGAGATCAAGTCCAACCTCCCCCTGGGCCAGAGCAATCAGTTTTATCACTGACCTTATACAAATTATTATTTTTTTTTTAGCTCATTTAAATTTCCATCAGGTAGAAGGGCAGAGTTAAGCCATTAAACAATACATTATTTTCAAAGAGCATGACTACATTATATAAGCACCACAACCCAAACACAACAGCAAATGGATGAAAACAATTTCAATAAGGTAAGATATGATGTGAGTAGACAGCTGACCTGCTGATTCAAACTTGCGCATAAATTTACAGCTCCTTTAGGAGACCAGAGTGCTTTGTTGAGATTTAATACCTAACTTTGAACTATTTATTCAGAAGTTCAACTATTTGATCAGTATTCCTACTCGGAATCAACGCCGTCATATTAAACTGGTACAAAGTGAGCTCAGTCAAGTTTCAATTGCACAATAACCTGTGGTGCACCAGTAGAATACATTTTAAGTCTGGTGACACACTTTCTGGTTAGGGAATTATTTTTTCTTTATAACTCACAGTGTTCTTACCTACTCAAGATTGCCCAGCATATTTTAGAGACTATTCCTGAGAGGTCACCTGCCATAACACTGATTTAAAGTTTAGTTTCTGTACCTTCCATAATTAATAGCACTCCTGAAGACAGAAAAATAAAAATGAACAGACCTTCCTGTTTCTTTGCTTCTTCTAAGCTCTTCTTCACTGTTATTTTGAGATCTTCATCCTCTTCGCTATCTGAACCTTAAATGCACAAATGAAAGATAAATTACACATTGATTCTAATAAAACCCTTAACAGTCCCTTCTTGCATTTCTTACTGTGAAACAATGCAGGTTGGATTTGAAGAAATACACTTGTTATGATCTGAAAAGTCAAGATAAAAATGTGTTATAGTTTAAGACAGAAACTCAAGAGTTATTTTTCAGCTACCTTCTTTCCATTCTCACCAAAATGTGAAGGCAGACTGCTTCAATTTTTTATTATTTTAAAGTGGTAACAAGAAATAAGATCTCTAGAAGCTTTTGCTTTTTTTGCAACACTCAGTTATTAAAAAATAAATTAAAAAGAAAGACATTACTTTCTACAAAATGTATCAAGGATTTAAACATGGGAAAAAGTGCTATCATGGTCTTAGTTGTATTTTGTTGTCTAAACACTCCACTTGAGCAGCAGAGTGCTAGATCTCAATTCTGCAGTGCAATTCAGCAGATACAGTTCAAATATCACAGAAGAAAAAAAAAAAGATTTGCTTAATCTGTTAACTCATCATAACCAAGCCAAGTCAAGCCTCTACCACCTTTCCTTTCTAAATAATACTCCTTGTGAGGCTGGTTTTCAGCTACAGAGTATCAGCCCAATTTTCAAGTGCCTAGTATGGATTGGTCTACCTAAGGTGGTTTGTTTTTTACTTCCATTTGTTGTAAACAGTCTCAGTAAACTGCAGGTTAAAAAATAAACAAGTCAATGAGCCAATCACATAATGCACTCACTCTCCTGCTACAGGCTATTGCTATTTTCAGAGATGGTCTCTGTAATGAGGTTTAAAATATTCACAATCAACTAGGTCTCCTACAATCGTATCAACAGAAGCATTTCCCTTACAGTCACATTTATTAGTACACCAATGTACTTCTGATTATGTTCGCTGGAAAAGAACCTTCCAATATGGACATCTAATATACCCATATTATGTCCACATCTAATATGTGTGACTTCTGACATTTTAAATCAGCCCAACTAGGTTTTCAAAGAGACAGATACACTTTATAAATTTTGTTTTCAAACCTCTGACACATATACCTTGTTTTCCTAATATCAGGAATACAAACAGCTGTTATCAAACAGAGATGAGGAGCCCACAAAAATGGCAGAAATAGCTGTTAAAGCTGCAGTTAAAAAGGTCTTTCTCCAGTCACTTGGCAGACTGACTGGGAATCCTTTTTGGAGCTGCCTATTACCTCTGGGCAGAAGAGATACTATTTTTTAAAATCATCTTCCAAAGCAAACAAAGCAAAAGAAAGAAAAATCCACACAATCCAAACAAATGTAATTACAATCACTTATTAAAGGGAGGAAAAAGTACAAAGAAAAGGCTTGGCACAAGTGCCTTCCTCCTTATTAATCACCTTTTAATCTTCTAGCCTGGAAGATCACTTCAAACTGCTCTAAAAAGTGTTGTACCTGTTAGAGGTGTAACAGTTGAAATAGTCACTCCCTAACTAATTGTTGGAGAAAGAAAAATGGAAGCATTGAGATTTTGAGAGCAGTAAGGAATAGTAAAACTGAGTGTCTGGTTCGCTTCTGTTTCAAACAAAACTTTATTAAGAGCACTTTCCTCAAAATTTGTGGGGGTTTTTTAGGCAACGTGACAGAAGATATTAAGAAATAGGAAAGGCAGTTCAGTTGTTCTTCTGAATGGCATCTTGCATAGATAGTTAAATAGCAGCACTGAGAGTACTCAGAAATTCAGCAGTTTCTTTCAGATAGGATCTAAAGACGGAAAGTTTCCTGGAGCTGGTTATAGAGTCAGTTAGCATTTACCACAGAAGAAGCCATGATGGCAACCCCCTGACATGCTCTTAAGAGGACAGCACTTTCCTGCTTACTCCTGGCTCTCCTGACCCAGGCAACAGGCTAACTTGACAGTAGTTTTTCAGCATACAGCAGATCAGCAGCTGACTTCACTGTCAATTAGGACAGTTAGGACTGCTAAAAGAGGATTTGTAGATAGAATTATTATTTTAGTTAAGAAAAAGTTTAGGATTCATCCTATGCATTAATGCATCTCATCTTGCTGAAACATTTTGTTAGTCACACCATCTTAATTAAACCACTGTAATAACACAGGGTACACATTCATATAGGAACAGAGGTATATGCAAACTGGCATGCAAAGCATTTGAATATTATGCTTGATGCCCCATGATTTATCACTGCACTTCATATACAACATCTAAATACTACTTCATAGATGTAACATCACAGTGAACAGGTTTGCTTAAAGCAGAGTTGAAGAAGCACCATTCCACTGCCAGAAACTATAAAACCTGGAAACAATTAGCAATTATGATCTTACTAGTTTGAGAGGGGGGGAAAAATTCAGCTCAGGGTCAAATGTGGTTAAGTACCGTATTAAAAGTCTACATTTTGCCATCACTGCTCATTATTTGCAAGACTTCTCTCCTCTCCACCTAACTGTATTAACATACATACAGCTTCCCAGAAAGGCAGTTGCTGAATTATTTGCCATCTTCGAGCTGGTGCAAGTTAACGCAGTAAGAGGTTAGCAAAGAGCCAAATGTTATTTGGGAGGTTTTCACACAAAGACTTGTTAGTATCTCAAATTATACTGAGACTTCCCTTATGCAAAACCAAAAATCATGGTTATTAGCTGTCCTTTAGCAAAGGCTAAAGGTGCAAAAGAAGTATAACTGAGAATTTTAAGATATTCTGATGTGTCTCTATGGTAATCAGGAATAAGTCTGTAACAGCCAAAAGAAAAGTAATCTGCAGGCAAAAATCCTAGGCAGAAATGCTTCAACAACTGAAGGGGTAGGGGCAGGAATTCAGCTTCATTTAGGGGCTAGACAGCAATAACTGTTAGGGTGGTACTCATCCCCTGTCAACTAAAGAGAAGGAAATGCCAAATGATCGAACAGATACATTTTCAAGTCAGAAGAGACCAGGCTGCTTTTCCACATGTGATTGTCATTGTGCTTGATCAAATGTTGCCCATAGTGTGTCTGTACCCTGTGACTGAGCTCTGCTCTCAAGAAGATCTTGAATTCCAGTTAAGAGTATACTCTATGCAAATACCACAGAATTGCTGAGATTGGAAAGGACCTCTGGAGGTCACCTTGTCCAGTCCCCCTGTTCAAGCAGGATCACCTAGAGTTGGCTGCCCAGGACTACGTCCATACAGCTTTTGATTATTACTGGAAGTATACTGTACTGGTGAGCTCAGAACTTGACAGTTATGGCCTTACCAGTGCTGAGTAAAATAAAACCATCTCCCTCAACCTGTCAACAACAGTCCTCATAAGGCAGCCCAGGCCATCCTTGGCCTTGTTCTCGATGAAAGCACATTATCAGCTCATAGTCAACTTGGTGTCCACCAGGACCCCAAGTCCTTTTCTGCAAAGCTGTTTTCCAGCTGTTTGACCCTTGGTCCTTATATATATCAATGCTTGGGGTTGTTCCTTCCCAGGTACAGGACTTCCCAGTTCTCCTTGTTGAACTTCATGAGGTTCCATTTCTCTCCTGTCAAGGCTCCTCTCGATGGCAGCACGATCCTCTGGTATGTTAGCTGCCATTTCCAAGTCTGAGTCATCAGCAAACCTGCTGATAGTACACTACCCCACCATCTATGTCACTAATTAAGATATTACAGAGGACTGGACCCAGTATTGACCTTTGGGGTACACCACTGGCTACCTGTGTCCAACTGGACTTCATGCCACTGATCACAATGTTCCAGGTCAGGCCATTTAGCCAGTTTTCAATCCACCTCTCAGTTTGCTCATCCAGCCCACACTTCATCAGTATATACTCTCGGTACTGCTGGCATCTTCTGATGATGAACAGTAATACAAATGTTTAATGTGGAGAAATCTGGCATGTCCTGTATCTCTTGTTAAAATGCTTAGCACATTCTGTAGCTCCTAACACCTCTGGGGTCAGAAGAAAATCAATTGCCCAGTTCTTCAGCCAAGAAATCTTAAGATATGGCCTCTTCTCTAGTACATTTTGTTAAATAAACAGCAACTAAGAAACTCTGACCACCCAAACCTATTCTCTCAAAGAAATCCTACTGCTCACTGTTGTCCTCACGTATTGCCCAATTCCTGCTTGAAGACCAAAAAAACAGGAAAGCAAATTCTAGATTAATATATAGTTCAGATATCAGAAATACTGTATTTCCTACCACCTATAAAGTTAGTGATTTTTTTACATTTCATGAGTGTCTCAGACATCTGTTCCGGGAAGAGACTGGTAAGCTTTCAGAGAATGCAAGCGCCACCCACTGTCCTGACATCAAAGCGCCACAGCTTGAATCTGGATTGAATCTGGAATTCTCCATACGGCTCAGCAGAATTCCCCCCATATAGCTGACCTTCTCTTGCAATCTTGCTAGTTACCACCATCCCCTCAATAATTTCCATCAGGTTTACCAGTTTCTGTCTCACTAAAAACTCGAACTCCCTCCCCCGGCCTTAGTCCTCCTCCCATTCCACGTAACTTAAAGCACCTCCTCACTATTTCACACATTGTACAGTCTCACAACCTACTGCCATTTCTCTCCTTCAATGCTCCTTCTCTTGGTCTTTTCACTAATTTCATCTGCTTCTTTCCTCTCCCAATGAACATTAATATTAATATCTCACTTATTTCACTTTATCTCCAGCCAAAGACCCTTTTCCTTTTACAGTTGGATGTCTGTGAAGTTTTAGTGCTGCCTTACCTTCAATACAGCATTATTTACAGCATTATTACAGCAGTTACCTCATTCAGGATCCTAATAACTACTTAGCCAAAATCTTAAGATCAGTACTGCACCCTTACCTTTGTTTGCAATCATGTTCAGTATGCGTGATCATGCTGCCTTTAAAATATTCTTCCTCGGCTCCAGAACCCCTTCCTTTATTCATTCTTCAGTATGTCCCTGAAGGATCCTCCTCACATACTTCTCCATAATACTTACTGCTTTACTCTCCCCATTTCTTCATTAAGGTAACATCCTCTGTAAATGCAAGTACAGCTACTCCCTGCTGAAGGTTCACAAATACACAAGACCTCTCTTCCTCCATGCACACTGAAGCTTCACTCTATGTATGTCTCCCTACAAATGCTAATTCATCTGTTCATTCAAGTGTAGCATGACTAAAAACAAACCTCTCAATCCCTCACCCTCCTCGGACTGCCCTTTTTGAAAGCTGTGGCCAATACCATAATGGTCACTCAGACTTCCATTTAATCTTCACCTCAGACACCTCCCTAAAATTCACAGCCAGATTAAATTAAGCCTTGACGATTTTATTTTTTTTTCTTTTTGTATGATCCAAGTGGTGAGGTCTTCCCAGTTCATCCACTTGGCTAAAATTCTTATTCAGACTTATTATCTCAAGACAGTACACTGCTTTCTCCCTAGGCCATATACATTTATTTCAAGATGCACACAAGAGATGCCACTGACTTACCAAAGGCAACAGTAACTTACTGTTGTAGCTAAACACGAGGTTATAACTCAAGGGTGACCTTCTTATAACTTCCTACTGCAACAGGCTGTGGCCACTGTAATGACAGTGTAAACGCTTACTAGAATAACTATCATCCATTCATGGTGCACCACACTGGAGATGCTCATGCCCTTCACACTCCTTCTCTTTGGACAGTGGGGGCTGGAGGCTGTGACCTGTCTTTAGTAATTTGTAGTCTGTGTTAACTGAAGGTTTGGAAAAAGCAGAGACTGGGGTCAGATGCAATATTCATAACAGACCTCAAGACCCACAAAAACATGAACACTGAAAAGGCAAGCAATTATTTTCAATGTTTTCTGTAAATTTATTCCTAACTCAAATTATTTTGTTGGCTGTATGTACACCAAAAGTTTTTTTGGGAAGTGTGAGGTAAAAAGCTTAGAAGTATTCATCAAAATGAACTGAAATGCTGTTCTTCCAAATACAAACTCTCATAGAAACCACATTCAGTAGTATTTAAACACTTTAGGCAGTAGTAGCAGAGTGAAGATGCAAGCTGACAACTCCACTTGAGCACAGTAGAGAACTTTATGGGTCAGTGAAAGACCTGCAGTAGCTATCTGGCAGACAGTATATCACTGCACCATTGATTTTGACAGTTTCATGAGACAGCCTGGCTCTTTAAAACAAAGAAGAAATACTCAAAAAATAAGCTCCTCTTATTTTTTAAAAAAGGTTTGTTTTAATTAAGAGCTCAGTCAATAAACAATCTCATTTGAATAGGACTGTGAGAAATACAGCTAAGATAAAGCCATCAACTTGCACTAAAATAATTTTTCTCAACCAAGAAGTTGTGGCACTCCTGTCAGTGTCAGGCTGGGTATGTATGAAGACCTATCATCAGCTTTGCCCTCAACATAGTCCAGCACTCATAAAAAGTATAAGCTGTAGCAGTACTGTCATGACTAGGTTTCAAGTCAGACAAGGGAATAATGGTCTTTTTCTGCATGTTACAAACTTTTCTTTGCAAAGGAATTACAAAGGAAGACACTGAAAATACTTTTCTACCCTTCTCAAACCACACTCCATTATCACGTATCAATCTCCCATCATGTGTTGTGCCTTTAGCATAAAAGGCAAAAAACCCTTCTGTATTTGTCCACTCAGCTTTAGCAGCAGAAAAGAACATATGCAAATAAACATCTTGCCTACTTTTTCCACACCTCAAAGGAAATTCATGCTCCCACTACAACCAATGGTCTCCTAAGGTAACATAGAGTTGGTATCCTATTACCACACATGCAGGAGCTTTTATTTGTATTTATTTATTTTAAAATTAATGTGTGTACGATAGTTCCCACAGCACTTCTGCTGACATTGTAAAATGATTCAAAAGGTGCAACTGTCAGAGACTGTCACAATCCAAACACAGTCCAGCTGCTCACACACTACTGCTAGCTCTGTGATGACAATTCAGGGAAATAGCTTTTTCATTATGAAGTTCACCCAATACAACAGCTGTCATATTTTTCAGTGCAATTCTCTGTGGTAACTTTTAAACTTATTTCTCCCTTCAGAATAATAGCCATAGGCTTGAAAAAGTCACTAAGCAAACAATTCTTGTTTACATTTCCTTATATTCAGCTGCATTTCTTTAACAGGACAACAGGTTATACCAGCCTATGATGCATGACTTTCCATCTCAGCCCTTCAACACTGGTCTTGCCACACTGAGACTTGCAAATCCCTGCTGATCCTGCAAAGAGACACAGTGAGGCATGTATTTTGCAGCTGCTTTACCTTAAAAAAACCCAAAAAACAAAACAACAACTCTTGATAATTACATCATCCTACAGTGCAACAAACATAAGCCTATTATCAAAACTGAATTTTCCAATGTCCTGTTTTAATACAGGACAGGAGACAAAGGCATTTCTCACCATCTGCGTCCTCCCTGCTGACAGTGACTGGAGAAAGGGACCAAGGATGGCTCAAGACAATTCTGTTCCTTACAAGCTTGACAGTCAAAGGAGTCACACGAGATTCCATCACTTTCCTGCTCAAATTATTATTGTTAATAATTTTCACATGCATAACTTAAGTGGGATGCACATCGACCAGCCAGCCACCAAGTTCAGGTTTGGTGCCTCTCAATAGTGCCTATCACCATAAGAGTAAAGTAAATATTCACATAGTAAAGGACATTGAAAGAAGGGTTAGATGAGGAAACTTCTGAGACCAAGAGCAATATAAACAAACATACTGGACTATAATTTATACACAGAAAACAGTCAGATTAAAGTCATCACTTCTGAGCCAGTACACCCTAGTGAGTACACCTACACTAGCAAAACTACCCAGGCAGGGAGCTACAGTGCCCTTACCTAGCAAACAGTCATTCCTCTTTCCTCACTGTCTCATAGTTAAAGCTACTTAGAGGTAATTTTACTTAAATTGATTGCTTGCAAGTTACAGCTCTCTTCTAACTCTGCCTCCCAAAAATATGCAAAGCTCCCAAGCAGAAATATCCTCCAACATTAATAGTCAGTTATAGCTAAAATTACATTAGAAGACATCTATCAGTCTAGGAATTTCAATACACTCTACAAAAAAAACATTGTGGGAATGCAGTGGTTCAATGTGTAGCTTTATGGTAAACTGTGGAGAAAATGCAGATTCCCCCTCAAGCAAAATTAACTGCACTAGTGAAAGTGACAGTTCTGTAATTAACTATGCCAAGAAATTTTATTGGTATGGCTGCTTCTGGCTGGAAATAACATCTCCATAACCCAGCTGAAAAATCTAGATCAGTAAATGCCTGGCATGGCCAGAAAACTCTATAAGCACCTCCTCTGTATCAGAAGCACATACATCAGTTTCAGCTCACCACTGACAATTTTCTCAGGAAACCATTTAATTTTCCTGTCTTTCTTTTTGCCTTTAATTGATCAATGCCAATTCACCATTCAGTCCAATATATTTTTCTGAAAACAGTTTATGGCTAATTCACAAACAACTTACTGTAACAGGCACTCAATTTACAAGCCCTCAAACCCACAAGAAGCAGTCAGGAAAAGCAATAATGTATCTATGGAGAAATGTATGGTCTTCTAGGAAAACTTCAAGATATTTTAAAATACATAGAAGTTTTAGAACACAGCTCACCTCTGGTATCCTTCACACGAAAATGAGCTGGCTCAAACCTCTGATTATTCTATATAAAAAGAGTAATCATATGGCATTTCAGAGAACCTAAAAACTTTCATTGGTATTTTTCCTCCAAACAGATATAAGTCACGTGGCAGCAAAGACATGCATCAAGTGTCTGGAAATGACCAGGAGGAGCAAGTTAAAATAAACAGAGATATTTTGAGAAATAAGGATGTTTTAGCAGGGTCATGTTTGTTTCAGACTCAGAACCAAGCAAGCAAAGCAGATATGAGTACAAATTAACAAATACACACAAGAGTTCTCTGAACAGCCTCTCACTAGAAAGGAGTTTTCTAATCAAAGCAACAGTCTGTCTCCTGCTATAATCAAGAATACAGGGAGGACTGAGTTTGTTACGTTGAATAAAAATGTTTAATTACATCTGGTCTCAAAGCTTGCCCCAAGCAAACTAAATGTCTGATCTATATTTAATTGAAAAACAAATACAATACAAGAAGCATCAAGCAACAGCTTGTATTACCAGCACAAGTGTTCAGTTCTTTTATTGCAGAGAACTTATCAGTTTACTGGAAAGACCGTGTTTAATGTTTACATTCTACCTTTTGCGGCATCTGAAATGCTGTTTAGCAAGGCACACATCATGTCTCCATCCATGTGGTGAGGATTGAGGATGCGAACTGACCGCTGGGTCATCTTAAATTGGTTTTCCAGTTCCAGGAAGCTTTTGTCTCCAGAAAGTACAGTAAAAGGAATTTGTTTGGGCAGATGCTCATCCAGACGACCAGCCTGTATGGAAACAAATTACAAGTGTTCAACTGAGATAAAATTTAATCTCGTGAGGTTAAGCTAGCTTTCTGTAAGACAGCTCTTCATAGGAACATCTTCTACAGCAACTTACCTCCATTTTTGTGGTCCAATGCATATTTTACCACCAGGAAATGTATTATTTCAACAGTTTGACACTGCATTTATTGTATGACAATAGATATGGAAAATGGCTACCAGAACAGGACAGAGGACCACAGAAGAAATTCCTAAAAAGCAGCATTGCAGAACTATCTCCACATAAAACAAGTCACCTGTGTAAACCATTTTAAGACTCATAAAAAAGTGTAATGTAACATAAAAACACAGTTGCAAAACATGCTTATTTCATGTAAAATTATCGAGTACTTTTATTTAACGGATAAAGCACTGTACTAAGAACATGAGTGCCCATAGCATCCCAGATTTCTGTCCTTCAAATGCACCTCTTCCAACCCAGCCAAAACCTTTTGTCTGTAGAACGAGGCACTGCTCTTTGTCAGCCCAAAAAGGTCTCCAAAACTGGCACCCATCCAACTCCATCTTAAAGATGGCACCCATCCAACTCCATCTTAAAGATGGCTCTAGAGTTGTCCTACTTGAAGGAGTTATTTTCTGAAACAGAAACTATAAGAATTGTGGTTATTTTATTCTTCATTCCCTAATTAGCCTCATTCCCCTCCACAACAAAGGAAAGAGGGGGGGGGAAGAGGGGGGGGGAAAGAGGG